ACATAGGGGTGAGAAAGATGAGATTCACCTGAGCAAGCCTAAGGCTCAAACCAGCTCTTCTCCCTGCTTTTATAAAAGGACAAGGAAGGAAGGTCTATTTCCTAACACAGTGCGTAGCTTTGCACCCACGCTGTGGATAAAGTGGGTAAGAAGATTTAAAGAAAATAAAGACAGTATTAAGGGCACTTCTCTCTGCTGCAGCCACGTTTTGCTGTCCAGAGTAGCATGGATCAGATGCCCTGTAGGCAAGCAACTCTTGCCGAATCCTGAAAGAGCTCAGGAAATGCCTGACATGTCAGGAGAGCACATGGAAGGGGCAGTCGTTCTCCTCAACTGCATCTGGGTCTGAGACTGAAACTTAAAGGTCAATGACTCAAACAACTGGCCATTTGCAAAAGCGTCGGGTGATGCTAGGTCTGCACTCCCCAGCCGAAAGGGAGGAGAGTTTTTGGCTGTGGTGCTGAAACCTCCGATCTGCATAAGAACAGCCCAGCAGGTGCCGAGGGGGTGCACCGGAGGATGACAGCATCAAACCGACCTTAGTTTGGCAACTAGCTGTTTTTTTTGAGCCGGTCAAAGGAAGTTGCCAATAAGAAGCAGATCCTGCAAGGTGGGATAATGCTTTTTATCATGCCAATTTCTCCCTTACACAACTGTCTCAGGTACAACACCTCCCACCTCCGGGGGAGTATCAGGACATTCACATGTAGGCTTAAAGGTATTCATCCCTTCTGATAAGGCACAACTGACTCAACTACACTGGCATGAGAAACAGCCGTTATGCCTTAGAAGAGATCATAGACCATCAAAGACCCCTGAAGCACCCCCAGACTCATTTCTGGGCCCTCCACCAGAGGACTGCATGATCCACAGTGTTACATTAGACAGTGTAAAACTCCCCCCACCGGGGGAGGTACCTGGGTGAACCTTAACATATGTTAACTCATTGAACTTTATGCTTTGTGGGCTTCCCCCATCCTCACTGGATCGAGTGCAACTAACACTTTGACCAACAGACATCTAAATTGTAACAATCAAGTCTTGTCGCTGGATCCATGAGTGGTGGATCCACTATCTACTCTTATCCTTTCCCTCTCTTTTTCTTTCCCTTATATATTTTCTTAAGCATTGTTTTTATACTTTTATATTGTCATATTCCTAGAGATAATAACAAAAGCAGCTACATATCTCCTTTCCATTGCAACCGAACTGTTCTAAAATAAACCTGATATATATATATGTATGTATGTATATATAAACATGGGTCATTCAAAGTCATTTCATTCTAATCCCCCCAAGGGATCTATTAACAAGAATCTCTGCTACCTCTGTCTGGGGTGGGTTGTAACAGGGACCCCTGACACTTGTCTTGCACGGAGCTGCTGGGGGACATGCAATGTATCTCTCCACTGTGTTTAGAAAACCCTCCAAGGCACACAAGATTCAGGAAGAGTCTTGGCTCTTGACTCCTCTCCAGATGGCTGCAGTTTTTCTGTCCTAGCCTGGCCTAGCAAGAACGATGCTTCTTCCCCATCAGGTGACTTCTGCTCTCCCTCACCGGAATAAGAGCTCAGTTCAAAGCTGGTCCTGGCAAGTTGGTCCATCCTGTGTCCCTAGCAGAGCAGCCCCAGTCAGACCATTACAGCCCTGCCAGCACTGCCTTGGCACCACTTCAACATGCTCCCACCAGCCTCATCAACTCATGAGGTTAAATAAACACTAAATAATGTTTAGTATTTTGTGAGGAACTGCTGTTAGCAAAGTACAGTTGGCTTATCAGAGCCACTGGTGCAAACTAAAATGGCAAGAAACACAGTCAAGAATTAAGAACTAAGAAGAATAGAAAAGCCAGGCAAAGATAAGTTAAGGTCTGGTGGAGACTCTCACCCCCCAGGATAGCTTTGGTCCCCAGCCATAATGCAAGCACCTGCTTCAGACTCTTCTGACAGTTATCCTGAAGGCAGTTCGTTCTGCTGGGGCAAATCCTTGTGTTTTCTACTCACAAGTCTTTCTGTTTAATGCCTACAGATTTACATCTATGCGTATAACTTTTCATTTCTTAAGCATTTGAACACTATAGATGAAAAAGACATTTTGCTGGTAACAAGTAGACACTTTGTAGTCCAGTGAAAACATAGCTTCTAGCATCTTTCAGATGTTGTCTTCTTACAGGTTTTTACAAATAGAAATGCAAATAAAGAATCAAGGGCTAAAATGCCTTTATTCATTCTAATGCAGTGACACAGATGTGGGAAAATCTGATAGCAACAAAGTGACTACTGAGCACACATCACATGGAAGAAATCCTTAAACAAGGGCAAAAATACTAAAGCCAAGATCCAGAAGAAGGTGCTCTAGGACTCATAACCAAGGCTTGGTATTAAAATCTCAGAAATTCATGTTTTGGGGGTGGTTTAGCACCATGAACACCCTATTACGCTACTGATAACAAGAACAAACCCACATAGCCATAGTCTGAGACAGCAGCACACCCATTAGCACCTGCTGCTAGACCTTTATTGAGCTAATTATATTTCTCCTCTATTTTTTAAAACCAGCCCTTTCATAGCATTTCTGTCTGTTCTATGACAAGCCAGTCCTAACCTTTACTGTAGCCTTTTGAGGGCAGCAAATAAATAAAGGTTTTAATTTCTAGATGTTTGAGTTGCAGCAAAAAGGGAACATCTGTTGGGAAAGAGGAAGACACACTGCTTTCGTTTCACTTTAGGAGCTGATGACATACTTAGCCGCTGGATTAGCAATTAAAGAGAGCCAACTGGAATACTAATTCACATTAAAAAGGGAGCTCAGTTTCTGCTTATTCCTACTTCAGTGGATTTTTTAAAACCAAGCTTTCCATTTAGCTTTTCTCCTTCCTCAAGGGAGACACACACAATCCAGGGAGGCCAAAACCCTTGAGAACCAGCAAAGCTTTGCTCAGACCTACCCACCACCTTTGCACCCCCCTGCAGGAATAGGGCAGAGGTTTGCCATGACTCATGCCACCAGGAATTGCCAGGCTGCTGAACAGGGCTGGCACCTGACTCACTCAACACTGCACTCTTACTCTCTGAGTCTCAGAGACTGCTGAGCAGAGGCTACTTCCACAGCACCAAAGACCCGGGGTGTGTTTTTGCACCCGCTCACATTTGTTGGCCATGGAGCACAAAATCAATTAGAAAGGTGTGGGTGAAGTCTAAGTGTCTGGATCAGCAAAGTCATCATTTACCCTACTTCTACATGGTTATGCCAGAGGGAAGTAAGACCGAGTAGTAGGTGAGACTGAAGTGAGCAGAGGCTACTTCCACAGCACCAAAGACCCGGGGTGTGTTTTTGCACCCGCTCACATTTGTTGGCCATGGAGCACAAAATCAATTAGAAAGGTGTGGGTGAAGTCTAAGTGTCTGGATCAGCAAAGTCATCATTTACCCTACTTCTACATGGTTATGCCAGAGGGAAGTAAGACCGAGTAGTAGGTGAGACTGAAGACCTAATTAAAATGTCTTTTTAGCAAGGACAGGGAAAAAAACACTGGGTTGCAGTTCTCCAGAGATGACAAAGAGCTTTCTTGTTTTGTTATCTTAAAAATCAAATTTAAACCAAAATTAATCAATCTATCCATTTACATCTGAACTGATAATATTTCTCATGATGTGCTGAAAAGCAAAGCAGAGCATCACACCATACCCTCTTTACAGGATGTCTTTCAGGGCAGTAATATCAAGGGTAAGAGCCATTTAGCAGCCTACTTAATACAAATTTTCTGCCAGACAATTTCCCCAGTACCACATTATCAAAGGCACAGGATAATTGCTGTATAACAGCTGGAGCATGTCCAAAAACATTTTTAAAGCCTGGAATGATCTTGTTTAGGTTGAAAGTTGCACATTTTAGAAAGGCCTCTTCTTCTCAAGACCATTTCAGACCAAACTGACAAGAACTAAGCACCTACCTCCTGCCTTTCAACATCCATGTTCCAGACGACAATTCCTCCATCTGCTCCACAGGAGATGAGCTGCCGAGTGTGATGAGCATAGGAGAGAGACTGAACTTTATCGCTGAAAAACAAACAAGACAATTACCAACCAACCATCTATGGCTAGTACACAAGTAAGTGTAGAATATACAATAAGGCAGTACAAACCATTTGTTTGCCCATATGTTTCCTTCCCCCCTCACCGTACATGGCATCCATCAGATGCAAATCAGTCTTTGTGGTCCAGCTGGGACCAGAACAAGAGTGTTGCTCACCTTGGCAGCATCCACAAAAGCAAAGACCTGTTCTGATAACTAGTTTTGCTGCTCCTGAGATGGGAGGTCCCAGAAGCCTCAACAGAGCTGGAGCTCTGGGCCTCTCTGAAGGCATGTCTGGATGCATAAATGCAGCTCCAGTAAGGGTATTTCTTGTCAGAAAGTCAGTAATGACTTTGTTTTTGTAAATCTCTGCAAGATCTAGAAATGAAGCACTGAGGAACTATTGAAGATTTTCATTTTGTAGTAACAAGCATAGAGAGTTTAAAAAATAATACAGGATTCACTAAATTGTTCCCAAGCCCAAAGTAAGGTGGAAGATTTGGGTGCTTCTGTTTCTTCTTTTAAGGAAAAAATGACATGGGAAAAATAGTTCAGCCTAAGCCCCCAAAAATGGGCTTGGTCCTTCATTAAATAAAGAAAACCAGGCCTCATCTCAAGCTATTTACACCCTGGGAAACAAAGACCACACAACACTGTTATGGAAAAAAACAAGGTTACAAAGACACAGTAACTGACCATACTGTGACTGCAGATAATCTGCGTCATTTGGCTTTTTTTTTTGCTACCACCACTGCCCAAAGGGCTTCCCTGCTAACACATTTGCTTGTGCATATGGCTGCACCTCCAGAGGGGAATGTTTTTACAGGAGAGTTTTGGTACAACACAACCATCCTTCACAGTCCCTAGGACCAGGTCTCTATGCTGTACAGTGCCAGCCAACAGCCATGCCACAGATTAAAATCCAGCAGCTAACTTCATATTAGGAGAACTAACTTCCACAGTAATAAATCCAGCAGCAGTGCATTAGCGAGCACCACTGGCAGCACATAAGGGTGATCTGGGAATTTCAGTGAGAGCTCTGCAGTGCTCTGAAATCCCAGAGGCATCCAAATCACTCAGCAGAGTGCAGCATCACTCAAAAGGAATTCGTGAATATGTAAGAAACTGTTGAACCAATAGCACTATGGGATTTTGCCTCTCCAGACTTGAATCTGGCACAGAAGTCCCACATATATGTAGTCCCAATACTCTGAAACTAAATTCTTGTACTGCCAGTGTTAAAAGATGAGGAGGTCATTGCAACTAGAGCCATTCTGATCTACAGTCCACGCCCAGCACGGGCTTACCCTACTTCCAAAAGGCATCTACTATCCTACCCAAATGTATATTCAAAGACAAAGCCTCTTTGCATTGAGGAGACATGAAGGTTCCTATGGGAAAGGCACATTACTTAGAGTTCAGGCTGCAGGTAAAGCGGCATGGAAAGTTAGCGTGGAGGGAAAGGGACTAATTGTCCAAGCCCGATGCTCCCTCTAGGGGAAGTAAAGACCTCGACACCTAAAAAGCGAGAATTTCTCTGCAGCTGGTCTCCTTGAGGACCCTCCTCTTTCCAACAAAGGCGCTGGTTCGGGCATAACACATTCAGAACTACAGGTGTTGTGCTTTCCTTCACCACCCTCTGCAGACTCTCAAACCAGCCTGTGGGCCCAACACTGAAAAACTTACTATAAGCAAATTATTCCTGTTGTATATGAAACAGGGAGTCACATATACAAGTTTGAGGCTTGTGAAGACTATAACCTTTGGGCTGTTTGTTTCTAGATGTGGCTTCTGACTTTAATTTTTCTCCCATAAAATCAGGAGGAAGGGCTTTGAACATACTTATGTCCTTGCAGCTCGATAGCTGTTCCTTTTCTTCCTCCAATATCCCACATTATAATGGAATGATCAGAACTGCCTGAGAATAAAACTCGATGTATTGGGTCCCAACAGAGAGCAGTGACACCACCTGCAATAGGAGTGCACACAACAGTAATTTTATTACAGAAATTGGAAGACCAGAATGTAGCTAAATATAAAGGTACAGCAAAAACAGCTCGATAGCTGTTCCTTTTCTTCCTCCAATATCCCACATTATAATGGAATGATCAGAACTGCCTGAGAATAAAACTCGATGTATTGGGTCCCAACAGAGAGCAGTGACACCACCTGCAATAGGAGTGCACACAACAGTAATTTTATTACAGAAATTGGAAGACCAGAATGTAGCTAAATATAAAGGTACAGCAAAAAAAAAAAGGCCATGCAGCCAATTGTAGTGGAAAATTAACAGTCTACAAAACCTACTGAAACTCCATCCAGCTCTTCTGTGGGCAGAAGGCTCCACTGCCACTTCCACAGGTGAATCCACTGAGCAGTAAAATATGGTAGAAGGGTGGTCACAGTGTGACTACACAGATTTTCATCTCCATGATTTCCAGGAAATTAAAAGAAAACCAAATGTGGAATATTACTGGCATCTTCTCAATACCCTAGCACAAGGATTGAACTACCATGTGCTATCTTATAATTGAGCTATTAGCATTTAGTCAAATAGGAGGGATATGGGGAGAAAATGCTGCAGAATGACCACCATTTCTTCTGTTAGATGGCAGGATCATATCTAGGGTTGCTCTTTTTAAAGTGTGGTGGGGCACAAGTCCCAGCAATGAAACAAGCAATTTCTGCCTCCAAGATGTACCTATTCCACTAGGGAAAAAGTGTCTACCAATACAGGTCTCTCCTCTAGGAGCATCCTTTCTTCCCCAAGAACTACTACAACTTGTTCTAGTCTCACTCTGCTTTACTTAGCAGCTACCGATTGTGGTGTTTTCTGTGTTCTGCTCAGAGCTCTGATCACTCTTGTTTTTACCAATACAGCTTCCCTGGACTGCTGTGATAGTTTAAGGTCTATGTCCCTTCCATGCTATGCACTAACACAAGTCATCCTAGTGTTTCACGGGTGAGTCACACCACCATGATGCTGAGCAGAGATGAAGAACCAGATTGGGTCTCCTCCTGAAGCCTTACCTGTGTGTCCCTTAAATGTCGTAACAAGGCTGCAGGACTCTTGTTCTAGTTTGAGGATGGTCACTTGCCCAGAGTGATCACCAACAAACACATGCCGGGTTTCCACATCAAATCTGATGGATAAATGCTGAGGAAAATACATTGTTTATACAAGCTCTGCATTCCTGTCATGATTTGCTCATTTTTTTAACATGAGTATACTGCAACCTCGTGAACAGTGCTCCAGACTCAAGGAGGTATTCAGAGTGTACTTTTAGGCACCCAAGCTCATACCTGTTTTTATTAATAGTGAAGTATCCCTGAGTAAATCAAAGAGTGAGAAAAAAAATTAGACTGTTCCAAAGGACACAATTTGTGTTTTTGTTATGAAATACCTTTGAAGTAGCCCTTCACCATGAACATAGGAGTCATCCCCTCAGTCTCTGTAACTTAGGTGCTAGAGATGGATGGTATCCACTCTCTCCCTTCCCACACTTGTATAAAACAACTATTAGTAATTTTCTGCTTGTATTAGGTTTGTGTGTCAAGGTTTTGGTAGTGTGTGTGGGGTATTTGGGGTGGCTTCTGTGAGAAGCCACCAGAAGCTTCCTCCATGTCTGACAAAGCCCAAGCCAGCAGGCTCCAAGATGGACCAACTGCTGGCAAAGGCTGAGCTCAGTAGTGACAGTGGCAGCAGATTTAAGAAGGGGGAGGAACTTCACGTGGCAAAAAGAGTGAGAATATGTGACAGACACAACCCTCCCTGCATACACCAAGGTCAGTGAAGAAGGAGGGGGAGGAGGTGCTCCAGACACTAGAGTAGATATTAACCTACAGCCCATGGTGAAGCAGGCTGTCCCCCTGCAGCCTGTGAGGGTCCACAGTGGAGCAGATATTCACTTGTAGCTCATGGATGACCCCATGCCAAAGCAGGGTGGATGCTCAAAAGAGGCTGTGACCTCCATGGGAAGCCTGCACTGGAGCGGGCTCCTGGCAGAACAGAGGAGCCCACACTGGAGCAGGTTTGCTGTCAGCACTTGTGACCCTGTGGGAACCCATGCTGGAGTAGTCTGCTCCTGAAGGACTGTGGCCCATGGAAGGAATACATGCTGAAGCAGGGCAAGAGTGTGAGGAGTCCTCCCTCTGAGGAAGAAGGTGCAGCAGAGACAACATGCAGTCAACCAACTGCAGCCTCCAGGAGGCAGAGCAAATCGGGAGTTGAGTCCAGGCAGGAAGAAAGGAGGAGTGGGGGGAAGGTGTTTTTAAGATTTGTTTTTATTTCTCATTACCCTACTCTGATTTGATTGGTAATAAATTAAACTAATTCCCCAAAGTCGAGCCTGTTTTGCCTGTGACAGTAACCGGTAAGTGATCTCTGCCCTTATCTCAGCCTTTTGTTTTCTGTCCCCTGCCCAGCTGAGGAGGAGAATGACAGAGCAGCTTTGGTGGACACCTGCATTCAGCCAGGGTCAACCCACCACAATACTTCTTCATAATAGTCATGTTTCTGAATAAAACAAAAGTATTGTTTTATATCATATTTGTCAACTACATAAAGTGCTCCACATGTTGTACTCTAAACCATTCAACCACTTACTAGAACCACCTAACTGGACAGATGCTGACCTCTTAATCCAAATTAATTCCACATTCAGAGTCCATACTGGATATTTAAGGAACAACTGCTTTTAGCACTCCATAAGAGCAGTGTTATTTAAGGATCATGGGCTTTAAGCACACGGGACATTGGAGAAAAAAAATCCCAAAATATGTTCCTGCTTCTGCCAAATATTGGTGCAATATTTGTCAATGATTCTTTCTTCCCCTGCCCTCTACCATCATGGTCTGATGACCCAACTTAAAGTATCCTCCAAAAGTTTTAATCACTTGAAATGATAAGTTCTCTAGAGAGATTTAGGGAATACAGGGCAGATTCTAGCATCATGCTTTCAAAAATATTTATAATTTAATTAAAAATTAAGCCCAGTCTTTATGTCATTTAGATTGGCTGAGTGACCAGATGATATAAAGCAAGTCCATATTCAAACAGGAATTTTGAGTCAGTTTCACTTCTCATGAATTAGCAAAACACACACCATCTATACCACATACCCTCCAGGGCATTGAAAAGTCTGTCTATGCTAACCCATGTTTTCAGCCTAAGAGCTCATACTTTTCCACTTCCCTTTTCATTTGCAATAAAGCTGAATTAATATTTCTTTTATTATCAGGCAGCTGGGGCACTCTAGGTGAACAAGCTACTTGAGTGCCATTTCTTGAGTCATTTACTCTTTAGTTAACCCAAATTCCCAATACATAGTGTGCAGTTCCAGAGTGAAGGACAAATGCTCATTATTTTATATTAAAGTCATTCAATTTTTACCATGCATACACACACAGGCACTCTGACCTGATCACCAACCTACTTTGCTACCATTAATTCTCTGAAGAAAGCGTGCACTATGTGTTCAAATGAAGGCCCTATCCATATTTATGACAACAGCAGACCACAATAGGTTGCAGATCGTCCATTGTGGTGCTCAAAAATGCTTAGACCTAAATATGCCACAACGTATTAAAGAGACAAAGGAAAGAGAACAGGCAGTTTTTTTAATTGGCTTTAAATAACAGTTTCTCTCACAAAGCACTGAATCTATACAGGGCACAAAATTTGGAGAACAACTAGACAAACTAAAAGTGCTGTTTGAGTGCCAAAGAGCAGAAATAAAACTGAGAGCTCAGCAAAGGATACTGCAGGCCACAGGCGCCTGCGCTGGTGCGGTACCCTCCAAGCCGCTGGCCGCTCTCTGAACAGTGCCATGTGAAGTGTTTGTCGTGTCCAGTGCTTAACACCCACTCCATCTCCAGGACAAACAGAATCATGATGACCCTGCTTTGATGAGCTGAAAGTTAAGCAGAGATAGATGATCACATTACACAGAAGAACACGGGGGCAGAAGACCACTGCTAATACCAACTGCACCCAACTCCTCTGCTCACCCTGCCCTACAGAAGCATCTGGTGTTTAATAATCCTGTTGACATTGGCTACCATACAAGCTTGTAAGGTCCCTGCTCTGCATGTTCAGTGTTTGCATGAGAAAGAGTGGAAGCAGAAGGTATTTCCTTCCACGCCTGTTGCAGCCATGTATCTTCTACAGTAGCACAAGTCGTCCTTCCATCGTTATATCCTCACCAACAAAGCTGCCATTGTGGAATGGACTTAGGACTCCACTTAAACGTCTTTTGAGGTGGTTTTATGACAGCAGTGCAGATGCCTACACTGTCACTCATCCTGCTGAGAAGTCTGGAGGATCTGGACTGTGGTACCCCAGCAGAACAATGAGTTACAGCACAGGCACAATGCTGTACCAAAAGGAAGTTTCAGCATTGCATGTAAACCAGCTAGAAAGGTTATTGGAATAAAAGAAAAGAAAAATATCACAGCTGTGGTAGATGAATAAAACAGCTGAAGGAATAAATTTCTACTGCTATCAAAATAAAGCCATCAAAAGCTTTTCATTAAAACTGGGGAACACATGCTTGTACAGACACTTTTTTTCTATGAATGACCAGTGGACTTGGTTGTGAAGTGCTGATTGAGCTGACTTTTTAATAAAACAAGTGGCTGGAAAGACATGCAGAACTATTCCCAGCTGTAACTTAACAGTGAATGCTATAATCCTCCTTCTAAGGCCCTACTGGTTTATCATTGTTTTGAGACCCAGCAACATCTGCTGCACAAAACGGGCTGCTTGTATTTGTGCAAAAGCTGACACAAAAAAAAGATTAAATATCCATGAAAGCTTAGACACCAGCCTCAAGCTTCCATTGGAAACATAGAGAAATTCCTCAGAACAGTATGGGAAGATTGCAGTCTGCCCTATATAAATACGCAGCACAAATGAGCTGTGTTCAAACACTATGAGGAAGAACTAGCTGTAGCCAAGAGGGGGCTTACACAAGTCAGCACTTGTCCTGATCCACACTGCTTTTTTAGACCAAGAACCCCTGAGGAGAAAAGTCAATAGATGCATTGCACAAGTTGCCCATAACTGTGATTGGGAGATAGACCAGTTTACAGTGTCAGATATGAACTGTGCCCAGATGCTTTCACCCTTGCCCATAGCAGAGCTTGGATTTTGGCTCCTATTTCTACACACTTTTAAATTCCAGATAGAAGGATGGCGACAACCTGGGAGTCACTTGAGCTCTTTCAAATAGATACTATCTCCTCTCCATCCTTGATTTCTCTGGGAAGAAATTCAGTGACCCCATGGATGTCTCATGCTTGTCTTTACCTATCTGTTGGTCTCTCCAGGAGCACCTGTACTAGCTGATGCAGTGGTGCAGAGGATCATGATGAGATGCACGCTGCTACAAGCACCTGATGGACTCCTAAACATGTCCCAGGAGCTTGTGTGCCTCAGCAATGCCATAGACAGATCCAAGCACTTCCACAGGATGTGCAAAGCTGGCTGAGATCAGACTGTTCAAGGCCTGTCCAGGAATGTTTTCTCAGCAAACGCTACTGCCAGTGACAGTTTCCCATGGCTTGAATTGGTTGTGAGGATAGCTGACATCACCCAACTCTTCCAAATCCCCTCCTATGTCCTAAAACTTGTTCTAAAAGGCAGGGCTTGTACCTTTTTCTTGAAGTACTGTCTGGGGATTCTAAGGCATTCACAGGCAAGAAAGGAGTAGACATTAAAGAAGTGTACTTGCCAAAAGGTGGAAGGGGTGTACATGATAGCTTTGCTTATCCTCTCTCCCCAAAAAGAGCTTTCAGTTCAGCACTCTGTTGTCCACCTGCACATATTAGCTGGTGCCACTACACATATGCTGATGGCAGAAATACCTGAACCAAGTGGAAGAGCACAGTGGAGATCATCTAAGTCAGGAAGGAAAGAGAAGACAAATGCAAATAGAAAGTCACTTGTCATTAAGAGGGAATTTGACTCATATAAGGCTTAAAGAAGCAAAATGTCAAAAGGCTGGAACCTGAGAGCAGAGTAAGGAAGAGGTCTGGGCTCTAGGATTAATACAGGTTCAGGGTCTTGAAGCAGCAAATGAAAAGATGGTCCTTCATCCATGAAAGGTTTGTGTGCAGAAGAAAATGTGGAATAAACAATTCCAAAGCTGCTCATTTGCAGCAACAGCAGGATGGAGATGGGGGAATGGAAGGTGAATGTGGTCACAGGACAGAAAAAGCCTCAACAAGCACCAGGCAAGAGCAGATCCATGTAAGCCAGCATGTGAAGGGAGCCATTTGTGGGGAAAGATTATGCTGCACAGAAGGTAGGGAAGCAGCAGAGAGGAGAAGGGAGCAGGTCCATCTGCAGCTGGAGGGCAGGAGGGAGCAGGGGGACTGCTCTCCTGCTATGAGAAAGCAGCAGTGAGCACTGTGCAAAGAGCAGGTTGGAGAGAGGATGGAAAGACCTAGAGAAACGAAGCTGCAGCCAGAAGGTGCATGTTGAGATGTCAGCACAGGGAAAAGGAAGGTCTGCACAGTGTGTAAAGGTAAAGGTCTGAGAAGCACAGCTAGTGCATTGGCCACACTCAGTGTAGGGCAAGAAGCTGTGCTGAGGGGTTACAACAGTAAAAAGCATCAGCAGACACCAAAAGAGAGGTGGAAATCACCAGTAAGGAAAAAAAAGGCAAAAAAAGCTTAGCATATGCAAGAAAAGCACAAGCAAAGAGGTTGTGCATAGGGGAAAGCAGAAGTAAGGGCATGACATGAGCTGACCTGAAAACAAGGGTGCAGGGGGACACTCCCGAAACAAGTAGGCTGCAGAAAGCCTGGAGCAGAAGCAGGTCTACAAATCTGGCTAGGCAGAAAAGGTGTGTGTTAAATAAATAAATAAATAAATAAACAAAATCAGGAGCTGTTACATTATTCAGAGGGGGCATGGACTCAAAATGTGGCCCCTGGCAAGACAGTGCAGTTGCAAGAAGCAGGGTAGGAAGGGCTGTGCAGAGTGAGAGGCAGAAAGTGCCATGTGGCTGGACCCGCCTGTGTGGGGCTGCAGGGGGCTGAGGGGACTGGAAGCCAAGGCTGCTGAGGGGCCAGGAGGGTTTTTTCAACACCCATAGTATTGCAGGAATATGAGCAGAGCTGCAAGGGGAAAGAGCGGAGGTTGCCTGTGCCTTCAGCTGGTGCTGTGGCTGATGAAGAGGGGATGGTGATGGTTATGAGTGACCAACACAGAATGAAAAGTTTAATTTCCCAGAGCAACCCGAACAGCACTGTTCAAATGCTTACACTGCCCCTCCTCACACAAGGGAGGGAGTGAGTGCCCAGAGTTCTGACTCACACTGTGTCACATCCCCAATCTCTATGTTTAGATCCCTTTCAAGAAATAAGATTTCACAACTCCAGACATAGTGTTGCAGCAAGACCTCCATAGAGCATGTTCAGCCACATACACTGCCAATGCCAGGCTGCCATACGTCACTGGACCTGGCTGCAGACCCCTGCCAAGACCAAAGCACAGCCTATGCATGTGCTGTCATTCTCTGTCACTAGCAGATCATTTGGCACACATTCATGGCCTTTCAAGATACGATTAATATTCTTTAATCACTATAGCAGCTTCACCTACTCATAACAACACTTTGTTTCAGGAGAAATCAATAGTCCACCAGTCAGTGGACAAGATGTTACTTTTAAGAGCACTGTTGAACATGCACAAAGCTAGGACATACAAACCAGCCAGCATGGCTGAGGTGAAGCCCCTCAGTAGGCTAAATAAAATGATTTAGTCCCCCTAAAATATTTATAAGGAATATTTATAAAGGTCTTATTTGAAAACTTTAAGCAAAACCAAAACTTTTTTAAAGTAAGGCTTTTAACAAACAAACAAACCACTAGAAGACCACCATACCCAACAGCCACCTGTTCCTTTTTAATTATGTTGTTTCTTGTCCCAAGGTCTTACCAAGATGCTTATGCCAACCCCTATACCTCAGTAGGGCCATAAGAGGAAGGTGCACTATAAGGGTGGGATCATGCAGGGTAGTCCTCCCAGATCATGTGAGGAAGATCCACCTCTGTTGGGTCATAATATGTCTACCCAAAAGTCTACAAAGCCCTTCCCTGCATATTCTCCCAGAAGGAATGGTGAAAACAGGGCTCTTTCTTCTTGCTGTGTCCTAGCAGCATCACCAGACTCTGGTCTCAGTGAAGCCTCCAAGAAGCAAATGTAGCAAGAGGAGTATCAAAGTGCCTAACACTGTGTGGACCTATGGAACTGCAGGAAACTGATTGACAACAGCTCACAGAGCATCTCACTTTTGCAATGTTTCCCCAGCACCCTGGACCTCCAGTATCTTCCTATCCAAAGGCCTCCACCAATGCTCTGCAGCACATTTGGCACACTGCAGCAGAAGGACATGAGAACAGCTTTCATTTTACTCCTTTTTTTTTTAATTTTATGAGGAGTGTTCCCCAGACATTCAGTGGGCTGTCACAACCAACTGGCTTTTCTGCCATGCTGCCAAGACACCCATTCCTCTCTTCAAAATTTTCAGCATCTTCCCTTGAGGAGCTCATCAAGAAAGCTGCTCTCATGTGCATGCTGTTCTGCATATGCAGACAAAAAAAATTTCAGCTCACCCTCTTCAGTGCAAAACCCCTTAAATATGAAACCTTGGTGTATCAAACTTTGGTGACTGCAGAGCAATCTCAAATTTGGATACTAAAGACCTGTACAGTCAGACTGCAGCAATCTTATTTAAGATTCACATATATATGTATTTTATCATCACTGGATAATTTTCTTCAGTTTTTACAAGCTAAGAAAAAAGGCAGGCATTCTAGCTTAATTTTACAACACACCAGATATTCATGAAACAGCTGAAATGACACAGTCACATGTTAGCTGTGCTCTGCAAAAATCAAGATTCTCTTCATACCTTAAAATCTAAATGTTACAAAGTGATCTTCAGGGCCTCCATTTAGAGATTTAAATTATCCTCTCAATCTTTCAAGGTATAAAACTCAAAATATATGAGTAAGTACATTCTTTAAAATGTATGTGAGAAATCTTAAGCTAATATGTCAGAGTCTTCTATAAAGAAACATAATGCTGAGTATATAATATGCTATGACATCATATAATATACCACCTCTTAGTCTAGACTAACAACAAAAAAAAGGTAAGAATAAATTGTCACATGTATTTGTTACTTTTCTAAGAATACCTGTCCAAAGCAGAGTGTCCCTTAGAGGCTTGACAAGGATAAATAACTAGGTTTCTGCAAACATCACATTAGTGAATACCAGAGTCTAATTAGAAAATATATGGATTAGCATTTCTTGTCCTTTTACTATGAGAGGTATTCACTGATAATCTTGAGATTATTTGAACCAACAGTTACTGAAATGTAACCAGACTAACCCCAAAGTCCTGAATGCCTCAGCCCTAAAAGACAGGTGAGTTTCCTTAGTTATTTCAGTAGATACACTGGATTACTAAAGACTGAAACTTAAAACTCCTTTTCCACAAATATTGTCTGAATTTTAGTCAGTTTGCTGTCAAGTCAGATTCCAAAGGAACATCTAAAAAAGCTAATTGAAAAGTGTTGTAATCTCAGAACAAGATACCTATTGATAAAAATACATTAGTTAAAAAAAAAATAAATCTATCCCTGCACAGAAGACTTCTTTCCATTCACACTTGTTAAGAGAACATTAACAAAAATTAATGATAATACAAACCAATTAACACGGATCATGGTTCTTACCCTGGTAACTTTTCACTAGTGTCATCTTGTTGTAATCTTCTGATAAAATGAATTCCTGAGGGAGGGGAAAGAAAAAAAAACAAAAGAAAGAGTGCTTAGAGATGAAAACAGTCTCAAACACTTTACATTTGAAATCTTCAACAGAACTTCAATAGGTAAGCTCTCCCTTCTTCACAGCCACAGCCCTGTCTATACTTAGGCTAATTTTGAGTACCTCCATATAAAAACCTATATTATTTCACTTTTTAAAACTGCCTAAGAAACAACATCACAAGCACTTCTGAACAGAATGGATGAAAGAGGAACTATTAAAAAAAAGAAGTCAAAAGAGCTGACAGAAATGGCTGGCTATGAGCTGAGGTGCCAAAAAACGAGGAACCTGAGACCTGGCAAACACCTATTGCTCAGGACTGCCTGGGCAGAAACCTGTATGTGTGCATAGCTATGTGTGCCCGTGCGTGCATTAGTGTATATACATGTATTCATGGGTGTACATATACTACACCCCAACCTGAACACTCAATAAACCCAATATACATATGTCAGAGACCCTTGAAGTTGCTGGGTCCAGAGCAGGTACCAGTGATCCGTGACAGGAATGGAATAAATTTCAGGTTTCTGTCAAAAAGCCTCTCAGTGCTTCAGACAAACAGAAACCCAGAATTTTTCCCACCGTGATTTTATTACACTATTAGTTAATATTTATTCTGCTACCTCACAAGTAGATATTTTTGCATTGCTACTGCTTCGTTGTGGCTATCAAGCAGCTGTGTGTGGGGTGGAGAGTGGCTTAGCACAGGCAGTGTCTGCCTGGGGAGAGATGAGTGATGTGAGCCCAGCTAGGCTCTCTGTTGAAGCCAAGGAAGAGCACACCTATGGAAGGAGACAGGCTCTGCAGTCCTGCTGCCTTGGTGCTGCTAGTTGATAACCAATATGGCTTTAGCATGGGGAAATGATGAAAGCAGCAGCTAAGAGTCTGCATGGCAACCTTGGGTCCTGAAAAAACCCCATGAGGTTAAACTGACTGAGCACCTGGGTGTTCCTGGTGATCATTTTGAACAGGAGAGTTCCTCAAAACTAGACAAATAGAATGGCCACAACAAAACTCCTGCAGCATCTTTCTGGAGGATACACCCAAGTGAAGGGCAAGCTCTCTGACACCGCTGTGTGAATTAGCTTTCAGACATGTGTACATGACATACTCAGAGAAACACAAAGAAAAACCAAAGAGTGTAGAAACACATCATATTAAAAATTTACAACAAACTACATAGAAACTCCTTGAGCTAATCTACCTAGAGGACACAAGAAGTAAAACCTAACTCATTTAACCTGAAATAAGGCAGAAAAATAAAATTAAAATTACAAACACAAGAAAAGCTAAATTAAAAAAAAACACAGTTGTAAAATGTTCTGTATAAGCACTGCCAAAAGCACTGTGTAACAGTAGAGAACACTAGACTTCAGGAGCCTACAGACTATATTTAAAGCAAACCAAATATATATGCAAAGGAGTGCAAGACATTCTAATAACAAAAAAAATCAGTATTTACCCCAAGTTTTCAAACCAGAATTTTTTAAAAAAGAAAGTAATTCTTCATTTTTTGTGGGGTCACTGCAGGTAATCTGCATGGTTTTCCAGCATCAGAATTATGCTAACGCATCATATCTACCACTTGGCACCAAGGCAGAGAGGTTACGATACTCATCTGTGGAACACTTGCACATCCCATCTTACAGGAAAACAACTGTGAGTGATTTGAGGAACATATGTATTCTGCTCTCTAGGTATCTGTTAATAAATCTGTTATAAATATGTTCTCTTAAATTGCTCTACTTCACTTCTTAATCTCCCATTAGCTTTCTCCTGACAGCTAGGGACTGTGGGGAGTGTTATTTAAACAGCAGTAACAAATCAATTAAGTCAGCTGGATTTCTCTACCTGGGTCACCTTAACTCCACAAACCACAGAAAGTTAAAAATCTGCTCTACCTCCCCAGCTACCTACAGGGGAAATTGTTTTCATTAACCATTGCCTGAAAAATACTAAACTACCATATGAAATGCTTCATACAAAGCTTATTTGAAACAGAACCCTTTGCTGTGAATGATAACTTTCTGTTATTGTCACCTAAAGAGAAGTGGCTTTAATTGCTGCAACACATGGTGGGAGAACATGTCTGCCTTTCACAGCAATTTGGCTGTCCCTGACTTTGACTGCTGTGGCACACAGATGCCTATGACTTCAGGTGGGATGTAGAGTGTGGTTTGCATTCTCACTCTTCCTTGTATTTTTCCTCTAATAAATTTGATGTGACGTTTCTGTCATGTGATGCAAACAGTCTCACAGTTTCAGTGGAAGACTGAAAAGGCTTTTCAATCTCTCCACTATAATACAGTGAGTCAAACACAAGTGCAGTTTGTAAGGTTTATCCAAGTATTGATTAGCACTGTGTGCTTTAATACAAAACATAGCTAAGTACCATTAATACACTGCTCCATCCAAAATACAAGATAAACACTGTTCCAATTAACCTAAATACTAGAGATAATTCCCCCCAAAGACTTCTTGCTTATCATTTCCTTCTCTGAAAGCATATTATAATTTGTGATGTATTTTCTTGTTTTTCATTTTCTAATCTTTCTGCAGGTCTTTTACTCCCTGCTCCCCTTTACATGCTCACGTGTTCTCCCATTGCACACTTATTGCCCTCTCCCTCTCAAGCCCAAATATACGAGCTGCACCACTAGACAGGTATTTTAGCACGGGGCACCTTGCTCAAGAAGTTAATCCCCAACTGCACATACATTGTGTCATCTGCACTGCAAAACCACTGACTACATCTCTTTAACATTGTACCAGCAGAAACTGGTTTTTTTTCATCCTTACCTACGTGGGTATTGTACTCCTCAGAGCTGCTGACTCTCAGTTCTCATTAGGCAGCTTTTTAGCTCCTCTTAATGAGCTAGAAAAGCCAGGGTCACCCACATAGCTCAGACGGTTCTTGTTAACAGAACAGAGAAAGATTTCTGAGTCCTGTGCAAGCCCATTTGTACAGGAGGGGCTGGGATACATCAAAGCACTCAGGATGGCAAAACCAAACCCCTTCCTTGCAGGATTAAATACGTTTTCTGATGAGATTGCTCTCTGCCCTTCAGAGGTCGTTCTGGAGCTGCTTTACTTTTTTTTTTTAACCATACTTCAAATGTTAGTGCTCAGTCTTGCCTGTTCCAGGTAAGCTTATTATTTCAACAGTGACTTGGTACCATGAAAGTGTTCACAAAGCACAAAGAAGTCTTGAAAAGACAACTTGTCCACAGATGTACAAAGACTCAACTATTGCTTCATGTAGCACAACTCCCACACACCCACCACAAACTTCTCTTCAGCATAAGACCTCTATAAATCCTCATCCTTGAAATAGTATCAGCATCTTGTTTCAAATGATTCAGAGACTTAGGCATGGGACTGGCTGACATGGTCCAGGGTCTAAAGAAGACCTATGCCCCACCAGAGCTTCAGGTGGATGCCACCTGATGTATCCCCAAAAAAAGAGAACTCTGCTTAAGCAACTGAATCCATTTCTGACAGTTAATAATCTTTATATATTAGTTATGTGTTACCCATTCACAACCTAGTTCCCATCCCAGGGAATTTACAGTCTGTTCTCTGATAGATGATGCCATTTTGGCAGCACACTATGAATCTCCTTAAAGGCTTGACTTTATCCTGTTAACACAAGTGACCTACTGCACTCTCATGTCTTTCAGAGAACAACAAACCTGCTTTTGAAATGAGAGAGAATGAAGACTCTTAAATCTACTGTCAGACCCTACACCTGTATCTGCTAAAAAAGAAAAGGCTCCACAAATAATTAGAGCATCTTCACTTTATAAAGTACAAAACCTGAGAGAGGACAGAAACTATCACATCATTCTCTTGAAGGAGAAAATACTCAACTTCCCACAATGCAGAGGGGAAGGGTGTACATCAGCAGGTAGAGCAGGACTCAGTCTAAGGTATTCAAAGTGCTGTTTATGGCCAAATCTATAGACAGCTACAAGATCAGATGAGGTGAAGGATGAATTTATCTTAAGAAGCACCACCCCCAAGGAAGAATTCTGAAGGAGTTATTCTGGTGTCCTCTTGGCTCTGCTCAGAATGTGTAACAGCTCATATAGACACAAACATGGTCAGCAAAAAGGTTAATTTAATGCAGCTTCAGCTACCTAGAAACTAAATCACTTATTTCAATCTCCTCAGAAATGAAGAGAGAACTGATGCCATTTTATAACAGTTTCTAGAGTAAGTAACATGGGCATATCCAAAGGCAATTCACCTCTCCTCTGTGGGTTGCAGAATCTAATGATTAACTTTATCTAGGAAACTAGCTTTCAGAAGGATGAAATGAGGTGAGGAGTCTCATCTTGGCAATAGAAGTCTCCTCTCTATTGCAAGTAATAGACCTTTCCTTGGTTTCTTCTTGTTGTGGTATTTTGAGAGTCTTGTGCCCATTAGAGCATGTTTTTCTCCACTTCAGAGCAAGGAATTTATGTCCACAATAAAGTATTTTGGCTTCCAAAAGGGACCTCAAGCAGTCCCTGAGATGCCATTTCTTCTCAAAAAAACAGTTTGCAAAGTGTAAAAAAAAAAATCAGATGGCAAAGTTCTTTTTTTACATTAGGTACCACCACTCTTCAAGCAAGATGCTAGAAAATCTTTCACTCAAGAAAAAGGTGTACTGTGCTGCACAGATGTTTGCACAGCCCTTCATGTTGAGAAGTTACAAAAACAATCTCTTCCTCTCCATAGAAGCAAAACCTGTAGCCCTGTTTCACAAGAAAGGTGGCCGTGGCCATACAAGCTCACCTCACGGTGACTTTACTGGAACATCTATGATGATAGAATTGCTGCCCATCCTCAAAATGCACACAGGCATTTCATAGAATCATAGAATTTTA